TGACTTTGAGTTCTCCTTTACCTGTGTGAAAATCACAGACACACAACAACAGGCAAAGAGCAGACAAGATTTTCTAAAATAAATATCCTTCCACCATTTCTAGAAAGAAATCATGTATATAGTAAAAAGAATTGGAGAGGAATCAATTTGTATTGAACAACCTTCCCAAAAGCCTGAACCAGGTCCAGTTTCCATCTAAGACCAGAGATGAAAATCTTGACTATGTCCAACTCCTGCAGTCTTCTGTCTGTAGTGGACTGAGGAAATCCTCTCAGAAGCCTCAGAACAACCTGGACTTCTGGACAAGTGTTCCTCAGAAGGACAATCAATTGCTCAACTCTAAAGGACCTGAGCAATTTGTGAAACTGGGTGGGGTTAAGAATAGCTCAACTGCATGATCAGGACTCTCACCTGAATCAGAGCCAGAATAATTTTTTAAATTGTGATCATAATAGCTTATAACTTAATGAGATTTCAGTTGTACATTATTGTTTGCCATACACCATATAAGTGTGCCCCTTCACCCCTTGTGCCCACCTGCCACCCCTCTTCCTCTGGTAACCACTAATTTATTCTCTTTGTCCATAAGTTTGTTTATATTCCACATATGAGTGAAATCATATGATGTTTGTCTTTCTTTGTCTGGTTTATTTTGATTAACATGATTCCCTCAAGGTTCATCCATGTTGTTGCAAATTGGACAATTTCATCTTTCTTTATGGCTGAGCAGTATTCCATTGTATATATATATATATACCACATCTTCTTTATCCAATCATCCGTCGATGGGCACTTGAGTTGCTTCCAAGTCTTGGCTGTTGTGAATAATGCTGCAATGAACGTGGGAGGGCATAAGTCTCTTTTAATTGTTGATTTCATGTTCTTTGGGTAAATACCCAGTAGTGAGATAGCTGGGTCATGTGGTATTTCTAATTTTTTGAGATATCTCCATACTGTTTTCCACAGTGGTGGCACCAGTTTGCATTCCCACCAGCAGTGGATGAGGGTTCCCTTTTCTCCACAACCTTCCCAACATTTGCTGTTTTTTGTCTTAGTGATTATAGCCATTCTAATGGGTGTAAGATGGTATCTAAGTGTAGTTTTGATTTGCATTTCCCTGATGATTAGTGATGTTGAGCATCTTTTCATGTGCCTATTGGCTATCTGTATATCTTCTTTGGAAAAATGTCTGTTCATATCTTCTGCCCACTTTTTGATTGTTGTTTGTGTTTTTGTGGTTCATTTGTGTGAGCTCTTTTTGCATTATGGAGATTAACCCTTTATCGGCTATATGATTTGCAAATATTTTCTCCCCATTGGTGGGTTGTTTTTTCATTTTTATCTTGGTTTCCTTTGCCTTCCAGAAGCTCTTTAGTCTGATGAAGTCCCATTTGTTTATTTTTTCTTTTGTTTCCCTTGTCTGAGTAGACATGGTATTCGAAAAGATCCTTTTAAGTCTGATGTCAAAGAGTGTACTGCCTATACTCTCTTCCAGAAGTTTTATGGTTTCAGGTCTTATCTTCAAGTCTTTGGTCCATTTTGAGTCCATAATGGTCTACTTTCATTCTTTTGCATGTGGCTGTCCAGTTTTCCCAGCACCATTGATTGAAGAGGCTTTCCTTTCTCCAGTGTATGTTCTTGGCTCCTTTGTCAAAGATTAGCTGTCCATAGATGTGTGGTTTTATTTCTGAGCTTTCAGTGCTGTTGCATTGATCTGTGTGTCTGTTCTTGTACAAGTACTGTGCTGTTTTGATTACTATAGCTTTGTAATATATTTTGAAGTCAGGGATTGCGATGCCACCAGCTTTGTTCTTGTTTTTCAGTCTTGCTTTGGTTATTCTGGGTCTTTTGTTGCCCAAGATGAATTTTGAGATTCTTTGTTCTATTTCTGTGAAGAATGTCATTGGGATTCTGATTGGGATTGCATTGAATCTGTAGATTGCTTTAGGTAGTATGGACATTTTAACTATGTTTATTCTTCCAATCCATGTGCATGGAATATCTTTCCATTTCTTTACATCATTATCGATTTATTTCAGTAATGTCTTATAGTTTTCTTTGTATAGGCCTTTCACCTCCTTGGTTAAATTTATTCCTAGATATTTTATTCTTTTTGTTGCAATTGTAAATGGAATTGTATTCTTGAGTTCTTGTCCTGTTAGTTTGCTATTTGAGTATAGAAATGCTACTTATTTTCATAAGCTGACTTTGTGCCCCGCAACTTTGCTATAGTTGTTGATTATTTCTAATAGTTTTATGATGCATTTTTTAGGGTTTTCTATGTATAAAGTCATGTCATCTGCAAAGCACAAGAGTTTCACTTCTTCGGTGCCTATTTGGATTCCTTTTATTTCTTTTTCTTGCCTAATTGCTCTGGCCAAAACCTCTAGAACTATTTTGAATAAGAGTGGTGAAAGTGGGCACCCTTGTCTTGTACCTGTTCTCAGAGGCATGGCTTTCAGTTTTTCCCCATCAAGTATGATGTTGGCTGTGGGTTTGTCATATATGGCCTTTATCATGTTGACGTACTTTCTTTCTATACCCATTTTATTGAGAGTTTTTATCATGAATGGATGTTGGATCTTGTCAAATGCTTTCTCTGCATCTGTGGAGATTATCATGTGGTTTTCGTTCCTCATTTTGTTAGTTTGGTGAATCACATTGATTGATTTGCAGATGTTGAACCATCCTTGTGTGGTGGTATGAACCCCACTTAATCATGGTGTACAATCTTTTTAATGTATTGCTGTATTCGGTGTGCCAATATTTTGTTCAGGACTTTTGCATCTATGTTCATCAGCGATATTGGCCTGTAGTTTTCCTTCTTTGTGTTGTCCTTATCTGGCTTTGGTATCAGGGTGATGTTGGCCTCATAGAATGCGTTAGGAATATTTCCATCTTCCTCAGTTTTTTGCAATAGTTTGAGAAGAATGGGTAATTAATCTTCTTTGAATGTTTGGTAGAATTCTCCTGAGAAGCCATCTGGTTCTGGACTTTTATTTCTGGGGAGGTTTTTGTGAACTATTTCACTCTCTTTACGTGTGATTGGTCTATTCAGATTCTCTATTTCTTCTTGATCCAGTCTTGGGAAGTTGTAAGAGTCTAAGAATTTATCCATTTCTTCTAGATTGTCCAGTTTGTTGGCATACAGTTTTTCATAATATTCTCTTATAATCTTTTGTATTTCAGTGGTATCTATTGTAATTTCTCCTCTTTCATTTCTAATTTTTTTATTTGAGACGTCTCTCTTTTTTTTCTTAGTGAGTCTGGCTAAGGGTTTGTCAGTTTTGTTTATCTTCTCAAAGAACCAGCTCCTTGTTTCGTTGATCATTTTTACAGTCTTTTTTGTTTCAATTTCATTTATTTCTGCTCTAATTTTTATTATTTCCCTCCTTCTACTGAGTTTGGGCTTTGTTTGTACTTCTTTTTCTAGTTCTCTTAGGTGTAGTTTAAGATTGTTTATTTGAGCTTTTTCTTGTTTGTTAACATGAACCTGTATTGCAAAGCCAGAATATGAATAGTTAGCATTTCCCAAATCTCTGTTACAGACCATTAGATGCTCCATAGGAGGGGACAACAGACAATGAATATCAATTGAGAGAAATATCAGTCAATGGATAGGAGACAGAATTAAATGATATCTACACCCACACACACTAAAACCCAGGAAAGTTCTATTCAAAAAGCAATGCTTTGAGGAATACGTAGGTGTAAATCTTCCTGACTTTTGATTAGGCAGTGGTTTCTTAAATATGCACAAGCAACCCAAGAATAAATAGACAAACTGGACTTCATCAAAATTAAAAACTTTTGTTTTTTGAAGAACACTGTCAAGGAGGTGAAAAGACAATACACAGAATGGGAGAAATATTTGCAAATCGTATATCTGATGAAGGTCTAGTATACAGAATACATAAAGAACCCTATCAGCTGAGCAATAAACAGACAACTCAATTTAACAATGGAAAATAGAGTTTGAACAGACATTTCTGTAGAGGATATAGACAGATGAAACAATAAACACCTGAAAAGATGTTCAAGATTGTTAGTCATTAGGAGAATGCAACTCTAAACCACAATGAGATATCAATTCCCACCCCAAAGTGTGACTTAAAAAAAAAAGACAACAATATGTGTTGGGGAAGTTGTGGAGAAATGCGAATTCTTATACATTGTTAGTGGGAATGTAAAAAGGTATAGTTGTGTTGCTTTGCTTTGGAAAATAGTTTGGCAGATCCTCAAAAAGTTAAACATAGTGTTACATATGACCCAACAATTCTACTCCTAGATATATAACCAGAAGAATTGAAAACATATGTTCATTCAAACGGAAAAGAAACAGACAGAACACAAGGATGCAGTAAGAAGAATATTGACAATCAGGACAGAAAATATTTTTAAAAATTAATTATTCATCATTTAGTATGGTACTCTGCTTTTTATACTACACTTCTTAATGGATATAGAAAAAACTGGAGAAGATTCAGAGAAGAACATCATGAGAGACTAATAGTTTGACATCTTCCATTTGTGGAAAAACCTTAATATGAGTATTAATTTAGGGAGAAGGTGGGATGAATTTTTGACAGTCCTGAAGTAAATAAAACTTGTTGGGGAACTCTTTCTGCCTTGATGTTTTTATAAACACACAAGAATGAACAATGAGAATTATGCTTAGATATTTTTTGGAAAGACGTAGGTCAGTGGTATCAGCACAAGGGTAGAGAAATCTTGAGAGTGGCTGCAGTGGGATAGTCCCCGTTGGTGGTGACCTTCAGAAGAGACCAGATGGCCTTGTGTATCAGCATGGCCTAGGCAATTGGAAGGCAGCGGCTCCTAAGATTCCATGACACCCCTCACCTTCCAATCTGTTACTGTAACTCCAGACAGTTACCTGGCACTCTGGGTCGTCCCTCCTTCGCTCCTGTCAGAGTCTGAGCTACAAGCAGTACCGTTGGCTCTGAGCTCTGCCATCTTGACCTTTGTTTTTGTGTTTACAGACTCTCAAGTGTCGTAGGGTGTTCATCAAGTTCTTCCCAACAGTAAGTTAAGAATTCCTGTATCATCACCCCTCAGTCCTGATTAAACCTATTTGATTTCACTTGTTTCTAACCCATTATGTGTTTGGGTTTCTTCTCCCCAGTCCCTAGCTCTGCCTCCTCTGCCACATGTCAGCATGGCAGTATGTCTTAGCCCTTTGTCTGATTTTAGGTCCGAAATTACCATCCCGAAAATCAACCAGGAGCTTCAATCCCAGCTGCCAAAGAGCAAGCAGGACTTCCATGACCCCAGACAGAAATTCCTTATATCCCAAGCTACTGCCTACATTCTGGCCAACCAGCTGCAGAAATTCAGGAAGTCTGACAGGTTCATGGTCACCAAAGTGATGAATGATCACTCCTTCCCTCTAAGAAACTAAAAACTCTCCAGACTTTATCTTTTATTCTCTTTGTTAAAATAAACTTCATTCTGACCACAGTCCAGAAAGATACAAGTGGGTATTTTACTGTCAGTTTGCTGAGCATGGGAAAACTGAGGCACAAGAGTTTAGCAAATTTTGCAGGTTTGCAGTGAGTTATAGGGTGGAATTAGAGTCCCAGTTATTGATTCCTGGTGTAGGGACAGAACTGCCTGTTTCTCTCAGGAACAGGATAAACTGTTTCTCTCAGGATCCTTTCCTAACTGAATCACCTCCTGCATCACTGTTGGCCTGAATGTGCAGAACTAATAAACTCCATTTGTTCAGGCTTCTCTGTGGTCCCATTGGCAAAGCACTGTACTGGTTACAGTGAGGAAACAGGGTGATGGTACACACTGGGGGAAGCAGGTGATAGTGCCTGCTTTAAAGGAGCTTCAAGATGAGTCTGTTCCCCACCGAAGCTGTTGTATATGTGAGTGATGCCATGAAGACACGGACGATCCTCCTGAGTGTGAAACCATGCTTCTGGGGCACAGGCTCTTCTTCCTGAGTCCAAGGAAGCCCTTTGACACCCTGTGCTGAGGTTGATAGTGTTTTTGGGAAAATCAGAGACTCTGTGCCACTCCCTCTCTCTGTCTCTGAGCTGAAGAACCTTCAGTGATGCAGGATGCACAGCGGGTCCAGGTGACCTTGAGGGTCTGGGCTATGAGACATGTGGCCAAAGTGAGAATGTGTGTAAGTGGAGGAGACCACCAGCGCCAGGAAAAACCCAAGCCAGTGTGTGAGGCAGGCTGTTCCTTCCCACAGCCAGCCTTGCAATTGGAAGCTCAATCACCTGTTCAGTAATAGGGGGTTGTAGTGACACAAAGGGAATCATGAGAACAGGGGCACGTGCACAACAGGGTCATTAGAAGGAATCTAGACAATTCTGAGCCTGAATCTGTGTCATTTTCCAATAAACCATCGTGGCAGAAAGGTTAATTAAAAATGACTGACACAGATAAAAGTAAAAATTGAAGCCTGCTATTTAAAATTGAAGAGAACTTTTGGGAAGTCTTGGTAAAGTGGCCAGTGATCTGGAGTCAGTCTCAGGGGATGTGAATTCTGAGCAGTTAATCTGTCCAGTTACTTCCTGTGCCTTGGGGCGTCTCTTTCTTCAGCTCAAAAATAGAACGTAACCAAATGCCATGTATTTGGGAGGCTGAGGAATAAGATGTGGAAATCTCACTGTAAAGCCTGGTGCTGGGGTTATGTTTGTCACTGGGATGGACCCTGCTTCCTCCCTTGAAGGCGGTGACCACAGCAGCATGACCAGCTTTCCGCTGAGACAGACCTCTGTCTTTTCTCAGAGTGTGGAGTGTGCAAAGACATCATTGAATCTGTGTTGAAGGAGAAGCTGCATTCTAATGAGGGGAACCTGGCAGAGAAGTCAACCTTAGCTTGGAAGCTCAGGTAAGAAGGGCTCTGTGTGAGGCGGCTGGTGGGAAAGAGTAGGAATCTCTGAAGTGGGGCAAGGAGGAACTCTGGGCCAGAAGAAGGGCAGAAATTTACATGGCAGGCACATGTGCACACATATTTATAAAAGAATTAGAGAACAATAGTTGGTAAAGTATGGACTCCACTTTTCAGAGCCTCATTTACTTTGCTTAAAAATAAAACTTACTGAACTGAATTCATGTAACATGAAATTCACTGAATTCAAGTGAACCATTCGGTGGCATTTTAGTACCTTCATTATGTTGTACCCAAATCAGCTCATTTACCTTTAATCACAATCACCTCCTGAGTGACTATGGCTTGTCCTCCTTTCATTCAGAAGAATGCTATCTTCTTGACCCTGTCATTCTGTGTTCAATTATCACCAGCTGTACCTGTCCACATTTCTGTGTCTGACTTTGTGTCCATTCATTACATAAGTCACTATGTGTATTTTTACATGGAAATAGACATGGTTGAAGGGAGGAACTGAAGGGATATCTTTTCTGAAGCAGGTTTAGGAAGACACCTGGTTTTGTTTACAGAAGAAAACAATGAATGGGATGTCAAGGGATCTTACAGGAGCACTCTCTGATACAGAGGAAGCCTTTGTTTCACCTTCTTCTTTCTCTTTGCTACAGGCAGGTCACCACACTTGTGCCAGAATTCTGCTTCAAGAGCTCCTTGGAGAAATTCTCACAGAAATCTTTTTAAAAATCTTTAAAATCTATCAGTCATCTCTTCTGACTCAAATTTTCCCTCCTATCCCACCTTAGGCAATAAAGTATCCTAATTAAAGATCAGGAGCAACAGCTGACCCTGTTATGGCAGAAATTACAGGAAGGGAGAGACATCTCTGTCTTAATCAACACCTCAAGGGCCTCCTCACCCACAATGACCTTGACAACTACCAGCGGCAGGGCTTCTGAGAGCAACTGGCTAAGGGACACAGGCTGGCAGAGAGCATTGTCTGCAAGCTCAGCCCAGGTAAGGTGGCCACAGGCCCTGATTTCCCTGGGCCCCTCCAAGGTCCCCAGCTCACAAGAGACTCCACATCTCCACTTGTAATGCTTTTACCAACTGTCCTGGTTTCCACATCACACTTGGGGCCATGATAGGACCAGGACTAATGGGGTGGGAACAAGAGGAGAAATGCACAGAGTGGAGGTCATAATGTTCCAAATGTCTGCTTCCTCCCTGATGGACCATAGCCCTTGGGGAAGGAGGCAGCATCTGCCCAGTGGCAGAGCACAGAAAGGAGGACATGACAGGAGAAAGCTTGTTAGAGTGAAAAGAGCTCTGAGCTAAGTGTGGACATTCTCAGGCTCCAGCCTGAGTACTGTCTTTACTAAAGGTGGAAGAACAATTGATTTTTATTCCTTGATATTTTTCTCCTCGTCTGTAAATGGATCCAATAATCTGTTGATGGTAGCTGTAATGTGGGAATATTTACAAATGCACTTCAGAAAAAAGAAAGCCCCTCACTGTGTGGGGTTGGATAAGGTACCTGATATAGTAGAACTCAGTGGTGGGAAAGTTGTTTAGACTAGAAATTTTCCATAGACAAAATTTCCCTCAATAACACACAGAAGCCATCTTGGAGGCCCATGAAGTCCCCAATTGGAGGCAGGTGGGACAGGGTTTTTTTCCTCTCCCTAGAGCAAGGAGGAGGTTTGATGTGAGAGTGAAGGGACATAGAGCCTGTGCCTATGCCAGGATTTGTGGTAGTGTGAAGGATACAGTTGTAAAAGTCGAGATGGACGCTGGGCAAGTATCCAGTGATATGGGGAACAAAAGACAATTTAAACTTTTGCCCAATTTCAGGCAGAATGTGCCATGATGTTGATTGACCAGATCAGAGACACACTGCCTGATGGATCAGAAATCTATGCTAGGGCAGTTCTTTAAAGACAGTGCTTTAGAACTTCAATACAGTACTAACTCATACACAGATATTTGTGTCTCTATGGCCATTGAAGCCACTGTGTTTGCAGTACGTGAAGTGGGAAATAGCTGACGGGACATTTCTAAATTTATGTGCAGAAAATCATGAAGATGAGGAGGATGAACAAGCACAAGAAACACTCACTCCCAGGTAACAATGAATAATCGGGAGCCAGTAATGTGTGGGTAAATATATGAAGAAGAAAGAACAGTAGGTGAGGTCAAGAGCATCAGAAATGCCAGATGCAAGGAGGAGCACAACTGCAGGTTGTATGGGTTGAATTCTCTCACCAAGAATGAAATGGCTTTGTTAACTTGGGTGTCTGTTGTCTCTGTGGGACTTGTAAGAATGATCCATGGTGAACTCACCAGCCTTAGGATTTCCTGCACACACAGAAAATGCCTATTCTCTCCTGTAACTGAACACCAGGATGAGATGCATATCTGCTTCCCACAGAGTTGTCTTAGGTCCTTGTTAGGAAGGTAACTAGCAAAGGAATTAGTAAAGGAGTAACTAGCAAAATCAAACACTAAGAAAAGTACCTAGACAAAAAAAAATTTTACTTGTCATCTGAGAAGTATAAGAGGCCTAGAAGGCACAACATCTCTGGGAGTCTACAATGCCTCAGAGGCTGAATTCACTTGGCCATCATATGTTAAATTCAACATGACTTAGGTCCATGGTGGTAGCACCTGATATGGTTTACCATTTGTGCTTTGTGTCGTGACTGTACCATACTGGGATGATTGAGTCTCCTTCCTTAAGAGTGGTTATGTGGCCAGTGCACTGAGTACCTGCTGCTCTCTCCCACGCATGGCAGCCACACTCTGCACCTCATATAGGAGGATAGTTATTTTTCTCTTTAAGGAGACTGCCCCTTTGCTTCTGTGACCCTTCCCTATGCTTCCTATCAAAACCAGCTAGGACGCCATCATGTCTGATCCTCCTTATTTAATTTTCTCTCAACCCACCTGGCACAGCATGGAGCTGCAGGAGGTTGAAAAGAAGGAAGTCGTGCAGGACTCACAGGATGAATGTGTTTTGCCCTCTTCAGTTTGCCAAGAAGATTCTGACTGTGACCAGCCTTACAGTGATGGCAAATTCACATTTGCTGAACAGGAAGTCGGCTCTGCTCTGGATATAAAGTGTGAATGTTCCCATCCTAAAGGGGATGAAATTTCAAATATTCTCCCAGGTAACCTCATACCTCTGTACCCTAATCTCTGTTTAGGCTGAGGAAGATCATCTCTGAAAATAGACCCTATAGACATGTATTGGTGTAAATAAGGGACAAGGGTGAATTATGAAACACAGACATCAGGTGGGTCAAGGAGGCTTCATCTCTTTCTAGACCCAGGCCACACTTCTGTCAAGTCATTGGCCCCAGTGTCAGGCCATTGGACCCAAGTCAGATTTGATCACTCACACCCACCCCAGCAGAGCATATATAGGATGTAACTGTCAGACCTCCTGGTTTGGATTGAATGTCTCTTGTCATTTTCAGTGATCTCATTTTGGTTTTGTACAATGTCCATGGAGTTTTTATGCCTGTTCAAAGACACTGGAAGACTTGCTTATATAGTAGGAGTGGTGGTTTCCCTGGTTTCACTGATCTCAGCCTTAGTCTCTATCTTCTCTACGTTGGTTCAACTTAGCTAAACAGTCATCTGAAAACCAGGACATAAACAACTCTATCATTACCTTGCTTGTATGTTTCCATGAAGCAAAGCTGGGCCTCTGAAAGACCCTCAAGCCATTAATAGCTGTCGTTTCCGTGTAGCACCAAAGATTCTTTGTGATTTGACAGTTTGCACAATGCAAATCTAAACCATCAACAATTGTGATATCTGATGGGAGAATGAATATTGCAGCAAAACTTCTAGAAAATAACTAGGCTAATTCCCCAGGATCTCTTGGGAAAATATTAACTGTTTGCACAGACTCAGCACACAGGATATTGGGAGAAAGTTCTGTCAGATCAGAGAGAGAATTTCCCCAACAGGTGTGGAAGCAGTCCTGTCTACTTCTCACAAGACTTCGCCTTAGGTATCCTGGAATATCCCTGCCGGCATATTCTGTTCTTGCATTGAGAATATAATGCCCTGGTGGTGTGAGTGGTCGCTGAGTTGGAAATGTGTGAAATTTAATTTACTTAGCATGACCTGCTGTCTCTGAATTTATTTGCATAAAATCAGAATGGTTATGAGGAAGAGGATGGACAACAGCCAATGTCCCCCAGGTAACTCTGAAGATCAGTGGGCTGTGAATTTCAGTGGTGACATCTGGAGACCTCAGATCCAGGGAAAAACAGAAAGTGCTTAATATAACTATTTCACCCATTCAGCCAACAGCAAAATATCCCTTCTAACAATGTTGTCTGTTTTCATTCTGGTAGTTGTGTGGGTTTCAGTTTCTTAATCCTCTCAAGTTTAGTAACCTAGAGTCAGTTGAGTGAGGTGAACTAACCAAACTCAGGGGTTCCTGCAGTCAGCTGTTCTCTCCTGTGTGGTTAAAACCAGGGGGAGATGCATATCTGCTGTGTGCCTGTTTGGTGTCAGCATGTTGCCAATTTTGAATATATGAGAAGAAACTGAAAAAAATTCATATTATATCAATATGTTGAGAAAATGCTCCTCGAAAACAGAATATCAGAGAGTCTATAATGTCTCAAGGGCTGTATTCACTTGGACGTTGCATATAAAATCCAACTCAATGTATGCAAATGAGTTGAAGCCACCGTTTTAGTCCTCCATGTGTGCTGGGAGTCATGACTGTAACGCACAGGGAGAATTCAGTCTCCTCCTTCATCAGCTGGTTATATGGACACTGCACTAAGCATCTGCTTCTCTCTCTCTCTCTTTCTCTCTTTGTTAAACCATGGCAGCAACTCTTTGCTCCTCATATAGGAGGATAATTTTTTCTCTTCAGGCGACAATTCATTTGCTTCTGTGACCACTTTCTATGCCTGTCATCAAAACCAGCTAGGCTACCATGGTGTCTGATTCTCTTAGTTTAATCTTCTGTTACCCTCTTCCATCTGGCACAGCATGGAGCTGCAGAAATTTAAAAAGAAAAAAGTCCTGCAAGATTCACAGGATGAATATGTTTTGCCCTCTTCAACTTGCCAAGAAGAGTCTGACTGTGACCAGCCTTACAGTGATGGCAAATTCGCATTTGATGAAAAGGAAGTCAGCTCTGCTCTAGATGTAGGCGGTGAACACTACCATTCTAATGGGGGTGAAACTCTGACTCCTCTCCCAGGTAGCCTTCATATTCTTTGTTCCCTACAACCTGTCTAGACTGTGAGATTTCATCCCCATAGGCAGACCCTATACTTACATACTGGTTTGAAAGGCTCTAGGATTGAGTTTGAAACAAGACAGCCCATGAATCAGTGAAATTTGCTCAATTCCTAGTCTAAGACCACACCTCTTTCACGTTTGTCCCGCTGGCCAATCACTGGATCCAAGGTGGTCCTGCCAGACACATGGACATCTGCAACTTGGGCACAGAAGGTGACTTTCAGACCTCCTAATTTTGAATAAATCTCTTATCTCGCATGCAATGCTCTAATTTTTATTCTTTTTTTTTTTTTTAAAGATTTTATTATTTCCTTTTTCTCCCCAAAGCCCCCCGGTACATAGTTGTATATTCTTCGTTGTGGGTTCTTCTAGTTGTGGCATGTGAGACGCTGCCTCAGCGTGGTCTGATGAGCAGTGCCATGTCCGCGCCCAGGATTCGAACCAACGAAACACTGGGCCGCCTGCAGCGGAGCGCGCGAACTTAACCACTCTGCCACGGGGCCAGCCCCTCTAATTTTTATTCTTGAGCAATGTCCATTGAGTTTCTATGACTGTCCAAGGTTGTTGGCAGCCTTAGCTATATCTTTGGAGATGTCGCTACCCTGGTTCACTTCTCTCAACCCCGTGTCTATCTCCTTTTATTTGTCTTCTCTCATTTCAGGAGTCATCTGAGTAGCAAAACATAAGCATCAGTCCCATGCTTCCTATGCTTCCCTGAACAAGGCAGGGCCCTGGGACTTCCCTAACCCATGAATGGCCACTGTTTCTCTTTAGCATTGAAGATTCTTTGATTTATGGTGTGTGGATTCCACTCCTAATCTCAGTGTATAATTCCTCTAAACCATTTAAAACATTTCAGATGGAAAAAGCCTGAATATTGCAGCAACGCTGCAGGAAACAGCTAGGTAGTTCCCCAGGATCTCTGAGAAAAAGGATATGTTGAAGTGTTTGCACAGACTCAGGACATAGGATACTGTGATGATGACCTATCATATCAGGGGGATTTGTCCGATAGATCAAGAAAGCCAATGGGTGACTTCTTACAAGGCCCTATTTAATACTTCCTGGAATATTTCTCTCACAATAGCCTATTACACTGCATATATTTATGTCCCTGTGCTAGGATTGGACACAGATTGGGCATTTGTGGACAGGGATCTGCTTGTAACTGCCCTTTTCTTAGTTTATTTGCAGAAAACCAAAATGATCATGAGCAGGCGAAAGGACAAGAGCCAGTTGCCCCCAGGTAATTCTGAATAACTGTGGGCTGTTAATTCAGTGGTGATGTCTGTAGACCTGAGATCCAGGGAAAAGCAAAAAGTGCTGAATATAACTATATCATCTATTTTGCCAACCAGGAATTTTCCTTCTTCATAATGTTTTCTGTTTCATTGTGGTACTTGTATTGTTCCCATTTGTTATTAACTTCTCAAGTTTAGTAACCCACAGTCAGTTGACTCGGGTGAACTAAGAAGTCATAGGGATTTTCTCCACTCACATGTTCTCTCTTGTGTGGTTTACAGAGTGAGATGTCTTAGCATGTTGCATGTGTTTAATAGCAAGAAGTATAAGTGGAGAAAAATATTATTATATCATACCACAATACTGAGACAAAGAGGCCTTGATGGTATGAGATTTCTGGGATACTAGACTGCCCCAAAAGCTGTATTCACTTGGCCACTACAGGTAAAACTCAATGCAATTTAAATGAAAGAGTGAAAGCCATTGTTATGTGACTCCGTGTGTTGTGAGTCATGACTGAATTATACAGAGATAATTCAGTTTCTTTCCTGATCCACTTGTTATTTGGCCAGTGTACTGAGCACCTACCATCCTTTCTATATCTTGCCCTTGTGATAAACACACACTGTCCCACCAAAAAAAATAGGAGAATTTTTCCCTCTTTAATGGGTCAGCCTCTTTGCTTTCTTGAGCACTCCTTATGCCTTCCATCAAAACCAAATAAGACTCTGGGGTTAATCTGATCCCTCTTGGGTTAATTATTAGTCCTCCCTATACCACCAGGCTCTGCAGGGAGCTGCCACAGAAGGTCGAGCATGACATACCATGGGACCCGCTGGATGAATACTATTTGACTTCTTCAGATCTTCCTGGCCTGTCCAACTCCTACTGTCCTTATAGGAATGCTGCTACCATCTCATTTGAGGAACTGGCAGTCTATTCTGCTCTAGATATAACTTGTGAGTACTCTATTGTCAATGTGATGATGCTGACTGGATTCCGAGGTAGCCCTGTATATTTGTAATCCACACCTCTAGCTGTGCTAAGAGATGTCATCACCGTGTGCAGGCCCTATAGAGACATGTTCATTTGACTCAGGCTCTAGGATTGAGTTTTAAACATAGACAGTATGTGAGTCAGTGCACTTCACTCTCTTCCTGGTCCTAGGACATGCCCATGTCACCTTGCCCCACTCTCACGTCATTGGACCCAAGGCAGGCATGACAACCTCATCTCACCTCTGCAGCATGAGCATAGAAGGTGTCTGTCAGACCTCCTAATTTGAATGAAATGTCTCTCTTCTCACTTTCAATGCTCTAAGTTTCATGCTTGAGATTCTATGCCTGCCAGGCAATTGGCATCCTTGTCTACATATTCGTTAAAGATATAACCCAGGGTTCACTTTTCTTAGCCCCATTCTCTATCTCCTTTAGGCTGGCTTATCTTCCTAAGAAGTCACCTGAAAACCAACCATAAACACCTCTACCATTACCTTGCTTGCATGTTTCCCTGAAGCAAAGCTGTGCCTTGGCAGTCCCACACCCCATGAATGGCCAAGGTTCCTGTGTAGCAGCAAAGATTCACTTTCATTTGAGAGTTTGTAGATGCATTCCATCTGTCTAACCTCAGTGTATAAATTCCTCTAAATCATCAACAACCAGGGTATCTGATGAGAGAAGGCTGGATATTAATTCTTTTAGAATGAGGGTAGGCTGGTCCCCAGAATGTTTAAGAGAATGACATATTTAAGTGTTTGCACACTCAAGACAGAGGATATTGTGGTGATGATCTCATAGATAAGGAAAATTTTGCCCTAATATGTCAGGGCAGGAAACCAAGCCAGTCAACACAATACAATGGCTGAGGCCTCCTGAAATATAAATATAAAATAATGTAAATAAATAATATAAAATAATAGGTTTCTCACTAAACCTATTCTCTCACTGAGGATATGTGTTTCCCTGTGCTAGGGTTGGACACTAGATTATTAATGTATGAAGGGGGATCTGCTTAATGTGACCAGCCCTGTCTGGATTTATTTGTAGAAAAACATACTGATCTTGAGGAGGAAGAAGACCAAGTCCGCATATATGTTCCAGGTAACTCTGCAGAATCGTGGGTCTTCATTCAATGGTGGCATCTGGTGATCTCAGATCTAGGGAACTCAGAAAGGGCTGAATAGACCTATTTAGCAGACTCAGACACCCACGAAGTGTCCTTTCTACAATGGTGTCTGTTTTCACTGTGGTACGTGTACAGGCCCCTTTATTGATCCCTCTCCAATTAGTAACCTGAAGTCAGTGATGCAGGTGAACTAATCACTCACTGGATTTTTCTCCTGTTCTCTCCTTTTTAACAACCACATATGATACATATCTGCCTCTGCCTGTTAGGCATTACCATGTTGCCAGGTATTTCAAAGCAAAGAAAGTGACTTGAAAAAAAATTCCTATTATGTCTTAGTTTTTGGAGAACTAGGCCTTGAAGACAGAATTTCTAGAGGTCTACAATGCTGCCAGAGCCTGTGTCCACTTGGCTGCCTCATGTGTATTTCAACAAAATTTATGCAGAAGTGTTGAAGCTGCCTTTATGGTTTTCTGAGTGCACTGTGTATCCTGACTGTTCTGTATGGGGGATTCAGTTTTCTTCCTCGAGAGCTCGTTTTCTGGTCAGCGCTCTGAGCACCTCCTGCTCCTGTTCTCTCTCTCTCTTTCTCTCCCCCCTCTTTCTCCTTCCCCATTGCAACCACACTATGGCGCCAGATAAAGGAGGATTGTTTTATCTCCCTTGATGGGCACTCCCATTTGTTTTCTATGACCAGACCCTTATGCCTCCCATCAAAACCAGCTCTAGGACTCTGTGTTTACTAATCCCTCTTGTTTAATCATCAGTCTTCCCAACTCCACAAGGCTCAGCAGGGAGTTGCCATTGGTAGAAGAGAATGAAGTCCCACAGGACTCACTGGATGAATGCTATTTGACTCGTTCAATTGGCCATGACCTGTCAGCCTCCTGTAGGCTGTACAGAAGGGTCTCATTATTATTCGATGAACAGGCAGTCTTCTCAGCTTTGGATGTACACAGTGAGTGCTCCTACTGTAAAGGGAAGAAAGCTCCCAGTGGGTCCCTGGTGGCCTCTATGTTCTTTGTATCCAACAACCTGTATAGGCTGAGAGATGTAAACAGGCCCTGTAGACTCATCTTTGTTTGCATTGTGCTCTTGAATTTAATTTTAAAAAGGCATCATGTGAGTCAGATAACTTTCTTTGTTTCTTGTCCCAGGCTACCCTCCTATTGCCTGGCCCCCTCTCAAGAGTACAAACTATTGGTATCAAGTCAGGCTAGAGAGGGGAAATAGAGGGATAATTGCAAAATATGGAGGGCACTGCAGCCTGAGAGAAGTATTTGTGGAAAAAGACCTGGAGGCTATAAGAGATACTGAGGTGCAGGGCTGGGGTCAGGGAGAGGCAGCCTGACTCCAGAGGATTTGTATAAGGGAGCTTTGGGAAGTGATGTTAGAGAAGAAAGAGGGGCCAGAGGAGAGAAGGCGTGCAAAGGAAGGTGAGGAGTAGAGAGTGTGTGTACTAGAGAGGTGAGAGGAAGTTCTCACAGCAGAGCAGGCCTGTGATGAAACAGGATTTGGGGGTACTAAGACAGGTGAGACATTTGACAGTGCAGAGAGAACAGAATCAGAGAAAACAGTTAAAAGGAGGTTGGGTAAATCAATGATAAGAGTCAGATATAGCATGTGATCTGGAAGACTAAATGGTAACAGAAACATGAAGATGTTTTTAAGAAACAGTTAAACAAAACTTGGTGAGAATGAGGATGTGTAGAGAGAAGGAGAGAGGGGAGCCCACAGCCTAGTGGAGCAGGCCCTGTGGGCCACAACCTTACCTGAGCCCAACCAGGACTGAGATGAGGCTATTTGAAGTCTTTGGTTAGCCCACTTTCTGAGAATAAGTATTCATTTCACAGTAGAAATATAAACATGTTTGATAAGGAGTACTGCCCATACCCTGCTGTGTAAAAGAAGGGTTGTGCACTGTATTACCTCCCTGAAGAACCACAAAGTCTGACTGTGTAGTACTTCTGGCCCCTAAGTTTCCAATAATACACTTGGACCTCTACTACATTACTCACAACTGCTAGTCACCACCACCCCTGCCCCAAGTGGCAATAGAATCTATATGTGTAGGTGGGTGGAGGGACAAGAAAATCTTACAGACAACAGGAAGTAAGTCACAGTAAGATCATGAATAACAGTGGATCCTGTTGGCTGTGGTTTTATTTTCAGAGCTGTATTTGGATGCTTACTTTGGAATGAACAACCCTCCCAAGCTAGAGGGTGATGCTCTTGAAGGCTCAGCTTCCAGCAAGCATGGATGTCAAGTCATTGGCCACATTAATGCCTTAAGTGCCCTGAAATAGAGGATTATCAAAAGAAAACTGCAGCTCAGCAAGTGGAGACTAGCATGCAGATTCCCTGGCCTTCAAGCTTAGGGTCCAGAGGTACTCACATCTGGGGCTCTCAGATGCACTTATTCCTTCTTGCTCTCTAAGTTTATGGCTCAGTCTCCCACTCACTTTTCTCTTCCTCATTTCTTCATTCTAACAGCTAAGGCTACCTCTGCCTGGTCTCACCTCTGTTTTCCATGGGGGCTGCGACTCTGCCAGGCCCTTCCATCTCCATCTCCTGTTTGCACTCTGAACTCTGCTGTGTTCCCACTGCTACTGTCCTGATATTCCCTCTCACCTTTGCTCTTAGCTATAAGGGAGCCTGGCCCCATGGTCCTCCTCAACACAAGAGCATCATTTAGCTGCTGAACACATGGCACTTTGCTTGAAATCACACACTGTCTTGGCTTCTTTGCCTTCCCTTCCCAGATTCCCCACCTCCACTGCTTCTTTCTTCTGGTTGTCTTAATAGATCACTTGCACATGGATCCTCCCCCTGGGTTTTTTAGGGAACCTGACCTAGGACAAACCTTAACCCTCAACTTCTCCATGTGAATAAGAAGTGTTAACACTGAGGAGAAAGAGCCCTGATTACCAAAACTAAATTAGAACCTGGGTCACAGGTGGGAGTCCTGGACTGGTCTGCACTCAGTTTTCTCCTCAGCCCCAGATGTGCAGGCCTCTGCTAATCTACATGGGGCTTCCAGGACTCAGTGTCCCCACCTCAGGGCCTCACTGAGGCTGGCTTTAGGTGGAGGACAGTAGATGGCACCCTAAAGGGAAACTGATGCAGAGGCCATGTTTCCAAAATGTAAAGAGTGTGAGCTGCTTTGGCATTCAGGCATCTCCCCTGTTCACTCCATTACCACTTCTACATGTTCAGTGAAGAATCTGGAAAAGTGAACTGAGGTGAATCTGAGGTCAGAGCATATAGAAGAGCACTGTAGTGGAATAACTTTAGGCCAGCTTTGTGAAGACCCAAGGAGATACATAAGAATATAAGACAAGTCCAATTGAGAAGGACTGTGATTCATCTGAGGTTGTCAGCAGGAAGACCAAAATCTTTAGGGCCAGTGGGAAGGAAGCTCATGGCGGAAGAGACGCAGAGAAGAAAAAAGAATGATGTGAAACAGAGGAGGTCTAGTGAGTAGTTCAATATTATGCTGTCATAAAATAAACGCTGAGTGAGCTTTGAACTGACAGGAAGCCTTCGCCCAATACCTTGAAATTCTGATTTAAACATTCTGGGGTGGGGTTGGGTATCAGTACTTTTAAAAAGCATCCCCAGGATGCATCTAGAAATTAGAAGGACCATGGATCTAGCAGGATCTCAGTCACCTATAGAAGTGTCTCATGTGTGCTTATTTCATAGAAAAGCTGAATATCAGCCATGGATGGACTTAGCATTCCTCCTTCAACAAAACTCTTTGTACAGCCTGGAGAAAACAGAAAAGAAAAAAGAGAGATTGATGGGTTAGACATATGCTCTCTCTACTTGGATCAAAGTTTCTCACAATTTTTATAGGACAAGATACAGTAAGAAATAAATATTACATAGAAACCCAGTGTACAAAAAATAATACCTCCTCTTATTACAAGTAATGGAATTGAGGGCTTTCTTTTTCTGCTTTAAAATGAAACCTGCAGATCACTATTTACTAAACAGATTTCACAGCTCACAAATTGGTTCGGACTGCAGATTGAAAAAATTATTTTCTATCAAATTTTGTCCTTATGCAAAATCCCAATAGAGATTCTTAGGTCTCCTTCTCCTATGTTTATCCTTTCTCGTGCCCTTCTTTACCCTAGCGTACAATATGAAGAGACCCTTTCCTTAGGGGGAAGTTTGGGAAAAAAGTGATGAGAATCTAGTATGAGCAAAACTAATGCTCTCCCACTTTCACTTCAGAGTTTTGGGGTCACCTATTGAGACTCTTCCTGGAAATGCCCTGAGGTGTATCCTGGCCTGAAATCACCTTCAGAGAATGTCGGTGTCCATGGAATGAAAATAAGTGTGGCCATGGTTCCACTCCCTGCTCTCTTTTTGCTTCCATTTGAGTTTCTCCCTTTTTGGGTCTTTCCTCAGCTCCTTTGGAGCAGAATTTCTCTGTAAAACCTTATTCCTGTTCAGCCACGGTGACCGAACAGCTTCTACTGGCTGTTGACACCTCCAGGTTGGAGCCTTTCCTCTCCTTTCCCCCAAATGTATGGAAAGGGCCTGAGACCTGGGTTCTAGTTCCAGGGTTATCAATAACAGGTCACGTGGCTTTAGTTAGGCCTTAGCCCCTTGGCACCACAACTCCTCATCTGTAAAAGGTGGAACTAGATTTAAATATATTCTGGGGTCCTTGTTGGCTCTCACATTCTAGGGCTCTTCCCATAACCTGCCCCTCCTTCTCAGAGGACTGAGACATAAAGAAAAAGAGGTGTGTTTCTATCCGGGGTCCTCTCCTTCTGACAGCAGTCTGGTTCTGAATGTGTGTGATGGATGCTAAGCACATCCCTCCCTGGGAAGTATGAGAAAACCACCACTTTGCTCCAGAGGAAGGGGATTCAGGAGTGAAGTGGCTGCTGAGGACAGGGTGGTGGGGATCTGGCTAAGGCTCTGTAGCAGCTCTCAGCTGGGATGTCACCAGGCTCCTGGTGGGTGAGGACAGGGGTCCCTGGATCCCGCACCACAGGCTGAATGTAACTTTAGGGAGATTTCACTTCTGTCTTGTGGGTCTCACTTTCCCCTTCAGCCAGTCTGATGCTTCCCCTTCAGCTCCTCCTCTGAATGGGAGCTCAGCTTGCTCCTGGCCTCTGTCACCAGGTAGCCATCCCTCCAGGCTCAGCTATCAGCAGGACCTGACAAACTCTCACATTGGATTTTTTTTTCTCTCTCTCAGATACCAAGTACTTCTGGAATTAAGAAAAAATATTACTGATTTGAAAGAAACTGCCTCATAAAAAATAGCTTCTCCACTTGATGAAAAAAATCTAAAACAGCAAATCAAGTGAAAGCCCAAGCGGACCACTGGAGGGATCCTTTACAGAGAGTCAACATCACAACCACAAACAATTCTCCACAATTTTTACTCCAAAAAACAGGTGTGATGGGAGAAATCCCAGCCCTTCAGCCTCCAATTGTGCTATATCGCTAAGGGGACAAAAGCCTAGATCCACACAGTTTTGAGAGTCCATCACCAAAATCAGGAGCAACTGGAAAAAGACAACATGAGAAACTGAACGTTCTTTGCCACCAGCAGGGCTGTGCTAGGAGCAGACAGCCGTAACTGTGCAGTGGTCTTGTTGAGAATGTTTAGTCTGAATTTAATCGTGAGGTCATTATCAGACAACGGCAGAATTTAGACCGCTGAACAAGTCAACTGGCCTGTCTTTCTTCAAACAGTCAATGTTACCACAAGTAAGACGACAAAAAGGAGAAGAGATATGTTGGGATCCAAAGGACTGAAAAGATTATGTTACTATGTTTCTTTAGTCCTTTTGAGCCGAAGACGTTCCTCACCTTTTTGTGATTGCCTGCGGTGGTGGTGACATTGCCTTGTTTGTAGAGGACAGGTCAGTCGTCTGGCTCAATGGTCTACATTCTCAAGTTGTCTGACCATTTCCTCATGATTAAATTCAGGCTCACACTTTTGCCGAGAACACTTCACAGTTAACGCTGTGTGCTTCCTAGCGCAGCCCACCCGGAGACCAGAATGACCAGTTTATCCACCACCATTACTGTGAGAACATTGGTCACTTTGTTATGGAGGGGCCTAGGAGATCTGTCCATTGTAAAGACACATTTTTTTCTTTCTATAATCAGTAATTTGGGGAAAGGTACTTTGAGAGTGTGTGAATATCCTCTTCTCTAAAGATCTTTTTCTAAAACTTTTACCATCCATTCATGATCCCTGCTGTGTGTCGATTGTCATATTGGTGTTTGCACATTGGAGATCTTCCAATTTTATCATTCCTATATACATGTATTTGCTGGCCTTGTGCTGTGGAAAAGAACATTCCCTCCCCCTTCCGTATCATTAACATTTTTGTTTTGACTATCAATGTGGAATCATGGATTTTTTACATTCAAAACTATAATCCATTATAATCATGATATATTTTGGTGGATATGGCTAAAAATCAATATAAATATTCTTGTTTCTCCTGTTCATATTTATATGCTAAAGTTTCCTATGTAAATAAAATTTCCTCCGTCATCTCTTGTTTGGTGGAGCCCATCCTGAAAAGACTTCTTGTGATGGAGTCAGGACTCCCTGAGTGTTGAGTATTTAATACTCTTGTTCTACTGCCTTGATGCATGGACAGCTTGGCGGAATATAAAGTACTTGCCCACAATGGATTTTATTGAATTTTGATAAAATATTGTCTTGCTTTGTGTGTTCTATTGAGTTGTAGAAAGTAAATTGATTTTCTCTGTATTGTATGTGAATTGGGTTTTTGGGGGGTGTGGGGACAAGGCTGGAACTTCTGAGGACCTTTTTTTTCTTTTTCTTTAAAATCTATTAGTCTAAGAGGATAGGTCTTAGAGTTGACCATTCCAGTTCTAGTTCTCCCAGGTATCTATGATTTTCTCTCTGATCCTTTCTCATTATCTTTTATTCATTTCTGTTCTGTTTGATGCTATCATTTCTTAATTAATGTCTCTTACAATTTAGACAATCATGTTGCCCTCACAAACCTTCTCATTTAGCCTCTTTTTCAGAGAATTTTCTTAAATTTTTTCCTAAGGTCTGCCAATTCTAATTTCTCATTTCCTGTTTCTTGTCCACTTCTCTTTTTAGTTGCGTTTTTCTTATATGAAGTTTTGGGTACTTTTTGTATCTACAAATACTTTGTTAGGAACATTTAATTCAGATTGGAATGCCATTTGACACTTTTCCTACATTTCGTGATTGATTTTGAGGGGTGTCATATCATGAACTGAAATCTTTGACTCTATTTCTGTTTTATCTTCTGTCCCCTTGGAATACATGTCTGCTATGTGATTTTCACATTAATATGCTCAGGTTTACCTGAATAAGAAACACAAGTTCTATGTAGGAAGGAATGAGTGCTCTGAGAGACTTAATCGATTTCTTAGCTCTGGATCTCTCTCTTTGGTGCAGTTCCTCTAATAGAAGTGAGGTTGGGGATAGGCATGGTGTGTCTTCTGATTCGAGGATTCTGTTTTCTTCCAGGAAGACCTTTAATCTCTACCAGTTGCTTCATTCTTCTCTTTCCTTTCCTTTTCCTTTTTTTTTTTTTTTTTTTTTTTGTGAGGAAGATCGGCCGTGAACTAACATCTGTTGCCAGTCTTCCTGTTTTTGCTTGTTTTTCACTTGAGGAAGATTGGCCCTGAGCTAACATCTGTGCCCATCTTCCTCTACTTTATGTGGAATGCCACACAGCATGACTTGACAAGCGGCACTAAGTCCACGCCTGGGATGGGTGCATACAAACCCCAGGCCAGCGAAGTGGAGCGCGTGAACTTAACCACTATGCCTCAGGGTTGGCCCGCTTTATTCTTTTCTTCATCACAAGGCTCCAAAACACTACCTTCATCCAGGCCTCCCCATTGGCCCTGGCAATTGCGCCTTTCCAAGAATGTCACCTCTGGTTCTCTGCACTATGGAACCCCTTCCTTTCAATTCCCCAGCAGCCAGAGCTGTAGTCCCAGGTCTCAGGCCTGCTCTGCATTTATTGCACTTTCTTTCTGTGGAGAATTTCCCTGTGTTCCGTCTGGAGCAGGTCCTCCCTGCTGTCCTCTCCTCTATGTGCATGGTCTTTGCTGACCCCTCAGCTGCTGTGTGGCTCCCAGACCTGGCTAAATGCAAACCGATTGGAGTCCCTGGTGGTTTAGGGTCAGGGTTATGAATGGTGTTTTTGACTTTTGTAAGATAATAGAAAATATTATTTTATTTGATCAGTGAACAAACGTTGCTGAGAGCTTCCTCAGTGCTTAGCTTGGTGCTAGGAGCCATGAATGCAGAGATGAATAAAATATTCCACCTTTCCCAGAGCCCTCAGTCTAGTACCCAGGAAGCGATGTGAAGTGTAGTGGTGGTGGGTCACTGGAGAAAGTAGCCAATGCTGCTTAGCTATGACTTCAGTGGTTGTTCCTTGTCCCTCTTCTGTTTTTGTCCAATGCCTGCATGACCTGTCCTGGCTCAACAACCCTGGACCTCAGCCAGAAATCAGCCCCTCTGGGTACAACCAACACCTGTGCTCCATGTTGGCTCAAAGCAGTCAACACTACCAAGGTCTCCAGAGGAAACTACTGATATCAGTAGCTACTGTCTATGTCTTCGCCAGCTGGAGAAATACAGAGGCAAGTTTGATAAGTCTTACAGGTTTGTCCTTGCCACAGTGATCAATGATGATCTGTCTTCTCTCTGATAAGTTAAATGCTTTCCAGACTTCAAGAGTCTCTCCCCACATCAAAAATAATTTAAATATTGACCAAATTCCTATACATTTATAACTTGGTACTTTATCCTCAAATTTTAGATCAAATAACTAAAGTAAAAAAGGAGTAAAGCAACTTCCAAGTTTGTAGTGAGAAGGTAGGGGTGGTCTGGGACTAAAATCCTGGTTTTCTGATATTGAAGTGGTTAATAAACCCAATGACTTTTGTTCTCTTAGAAACAGAATAAACTAACCCTCCCTGTGTCACTCCCCTATTTATCCTATCAAGTTCTATAAAATATAACATCTCTGCTCATCTAGATCACGTGGATTCTAAATTAGTTGAGCTACATGAATGCATTTACTGAGCCCCTGTGGGGAAAGCATTGTGCTGATTACACTGGAGGATACATTTCTTACTCAAGAGAGCTGAAAGATGTCTGTTCCCAGCTCAGCCTGAGTTCTCTGTAAGTGAGAACATCAGTAGCAGACACAGTGGCCTCATCCTGGGGAAAGAGAAGACAATGAGGAGGAGTGATGGCAGTCCCTGGATTTATACCTCCTGAAGAGTCAGGTCAAAAAGCATCTGGAGAATCTCCTCCAGAGAATGTCCTGGCTGCCAACTATCATAGTTGAATGTCACAAATTCTTGGCATGGACCCCTGTCCTGTGTTTCATTTCACAGATCCTATTTAGATAGTAGCAAAATCAAGAGAAAAAGCAGAGGGATACACTGGAAAATACTGAATAATGTGTGGTTGGGCAATGACTCTCAAAAGAGTTCAAGATCTACTTATAAGTGAAGTCTTAGGGAATACAATGCATGGGTGGGGTTTAGTGTCATGTAGTAAGAGAAAATTTATTGCATTTGGCAGTAACCAATGACTTGTGGAGACAGCATATTCCCTGAGTGACTCAAGTGATGGCCCTACATATCAAATAAGAAAGAGCGCCACTCACTTCCATTGATCTTACAGAAACAGGAGGCTCTTCATGCACTTAAATAGGCTGGAAAAATGGCTCTGCCTCTAGGACCATGGAGCAAAACAGATCTCATGGTCAGTGACACAGGAAACGGCAGAGTAAATTTTATGACATTGGCCACAAGATGGCCACACAGGAAAAATGTCTTGAGGTTTTTAGAGCTGCAAATGAGTTGGCTCAGAAGAACATTACATCTTAGAAAAATATGTTTAGCAAAATTTTGGACTCCATGGACCCTAAATATTTAGCCCATGATCAGCAATCATTCTGTACATAATTTATGCTGTATTGTCTTGGACCAATGGTGACATTTCTAAAGAAGGTCAGGAATCTGCACATCAGCACACACACCTGAAACAGAAAAGGTATATTTTTTCAAAAAAGCTAAAAATAATGAAGTTATTTCTTATTTTCAAATTTTAGTCTTTGACCTAACTGAAGAATTGACTACCATAGATATTAACTATTAATGATGATGACAAATATGCAGATTTAAACACAGCCTATGATGACTTTGAGGAATAACAATGTAAAATAATTGTTTTTACAGATAGCAGTCCTGTCATCCAGGGATGTCAATGGAAGTAGTGAGTGACATTACAACACCTGGACACTCAACAGAAAACAGGTAAAAGAAGGAGGGGACAGTCAGCTCAATGTGTAGAATTACATCTAATATACACAACTATCATTTGATGATAACAAACCAATGGGAATAAATATATGTTTATTTATTGGGTCCTGTCAAATGGGCAGAGCTTTGGGAAACAAAAGATTGGACGGTACAAAGAAAGTCAGTTGTGTCCTTGCCTTTAGAAAACCATTAGACAGACATAAAGAAAACACATTTAAAGCTGTTTGTAAGCCTTATTTTAGCCCATCAAGAGTAAACTTTAGCAGAGACACATAATGACAAATGGATGCTATGGCTCTGAGTGTCACACAACCAAACCCACTCAGCCTGCCACTATTAATTATTTCAATGCTCTTGGTGTCATTTTTATAATAGATCACATGAGAAATAAGACTAGTCAGAACTTGGCACAAACTCAGGATATTCAATGGATATATCATTGCATACCATTCAAAAGCTTCTGACTACATAATGCTGGAATAGATTATTGAAAATTAAACTTAAAAATAAAGGAGAAGATTAGCTCCTACATCTTTCAACTGGTATTGCAGCCGAACACAAGGATAAATTGGCAGCCTCACCAACTGAAAGGTTACTCTTAAGAAAAACTTACTGAAGAGCATATGAAACCTCTCACATTCATTGGTCCACAAAAGCCCTCCTACAAACACTACCCAGCCACAGGACTTGATTGGGTTTCAATCTTCTTCCTTGGACAGATAATAAAGCCCCAATTAAATTGAAGAAGATTCTTCTCACCCGGCAAATATACAAGTCCCCAAAGCTGTGGTCACTGCCAGATCTATCTTGAATCTGAAAAGCATTTATTCCTACCAGGTTACAAGGTCAATATACAAAAACCCATTTTATGTCGATAAAATTTCAATGCACAATTGGAATGTGGAAAATGATAGCATCAAACAAATAAAAGTAAAAAATATTGTTGAAAGAAATTAATGAAGACCTAAAAAATGGAGATAAATTCCTTGTTCATGAGTCAGACTCACTATTTTGTTGTTGTTGTTGAGGAAGATTTGCCCTGAGCTAACAGCTGTTGCCAATCTTCCTCTGTTTCCCATGTGAGTCACCATCACAGCATGACCACTGATAAATGAGTGGTGCAGGTCCACGCCCAGGAGCCAAACTAGGGTCACCAAAGCAGAGTGCACCAAACTTAACCACTAGGCCACTGGGGCTGGCTGGGACTCACTATTTTTGAGAATTCAATTTTCCCCAATTTACCTACAGATTTGATGCAATTCAACTCAAAATCTCAGTCAGCATCTTTGGTAGAAAGTGGCCGGCTGATTCTAAAATGAATATGAAAATGCAAAAGACCTAACATACTCAAAACACTTTAA